ATCATTAACACTGCTTGCATCCGGTGAGACTGCTGGTGGCGATTCAGACGACGCAAGCTCCTTCGTGGAGCCCTCAAAATCCCGCTGGAGATCGATACCTTCTTGACGTTGCTCTTGCAGTAATTTCTCACGGGCCTTCACATCATCTTCATCCTCGGCCTGATATTGTTGTTATCATCATTAGAAAACCCATCACTGATACCAACAACTTACTCCTTCCATTGCCTCTTGGATATCATTGGACGTCATTTTGAGTAGATCAGCCGTAGAAGTAGAGTCATCAGCTACTCCCTCGAGCATGTCAGCAACATCCACACCTGTCCATTTGATAATGGTCTGTGTTGTGAAGGCTCCCTCATCCACAACAACATCATCCAACATCCGCTTCTGTAGTTGCTTATGGAAGATGTTCTCTTCTATTGTATGATGAGACAACAACCTTGACCAAATGACAGACATATCCTCGTTGAACATCTCTAACAAGAATCTACCTGAAGATGTGTACATCACGCGTCTGACCAATACGATGGCATCGATCCATGGCCTGGCGGTCCATAGCAGGATTCCAATCGGAATCATAGAATATCACGCAATCGGCACCTGATACAGGAGATATCATCATAATTGCACACCATGGGGACACTGGAATACCTGTGAGATTAATACCAACACCTCCTGCTCGAGTCGAGGCTATGAAGGCAAAGATTTTGGGGGATTTGTTGAATGCTTCTACGACTAGTTGCCTCCGCAAAACCTAATAGCTATCAGTGGGGGGGTACTCCCTAGTGGCGTGCTCTACTTACTGGAGTGCTGCCATCTAATCTAACATAGGTGAAGCCATGAAGATTCATAGAGGCTTCGATTATGTCAAGCATCTTAGACATCTGTGTGAAGACAATACACTTGTGGCCACCATCGCGGAGAGTAGTAAGAAGTTCCCCAAGCTTCCGCATCTTCCCACAGTCTCTCTCTATCATATCCCTGTATAGAACATCATGATCCATATGTGATCATAATTAATCGACAGTTACCTATCCGGGAAGCGACAATGTCTAAGAAGCCTAACGTGATGGTAAGCCAGGGAATCCTGGTCTAAGGATGATGGTCCCGTGAATACACTCTTACGCTGCATCCTGACACGAACAGTACAACGTGACAGCAGGTGACTGTACCTTTTATACCTTCTAATTCTCTCTGATTGTTGATGACCACCCGAGAAACTGACTCGTGGTAGTGGTGCCACTGCTGTCTCAACATACTGGAAAAAAGCCTGCCAGGTGGTACTATACTTCTCGAGCCTCTCATGAGGGCGGAGACACATTGCTTTCAATGCTCTCGTCAGCTCATCTTCATTACAATACATGGGTTGGATATAACATGTACGTATACAGTCAATGCCATACATCGGGTTCACAACGAAGGCGGTGGCAGCATCATATACCACATCTGCTCGGTGCCGTCCCTCATGCTTCAGCCGCTCTTCGAGTATGTAGGCGTCTTCCAACCATCTCCTCGTCTGTCCTATAGGAGTCATCTCCAACTTGTCCCTAGCGTAGTCCAAGAAGCACCGATACTGCTTCCCTTGCCCTTTACCATCACCCAGTTGAGTACCCTTTACAGCAAGCATAGCAGACCAGACCGCCCTACGACGAGAGTCTCCCCGCACCTCTAGAAGGGGTAAACACAGAGAGCCATAGGTGGTATATTGGGAGTAATCCTTATTATAAGGCGTATTAGTCCACAACAGTAATGTTGCGGGTAGCTCCAGCGTCAAAGGGAGCATGGCCAATGGTGAGCGTACGGGACGTGTCTCGAATAGATCTGGATGATTACAGACTTTCCGTAATTGCATCAATACCTGTATGAGTAGTACTATACTCCTACGATCATTGCTTGCTACATTCATGATGCCCTTACAATCAAGGTTTTCCACATCATGTCCTATATCACGCTGATTCATGAACTCCTCATACAGCCCTTGTTGCCTAGCAGGATGATAATCTATAATCATCGATGTCAGCCTAAAGGTATAGCTCACCTCCGAGATAGCTCCACCTTTACAACATGCTCGTACTTTTTTGGCATTTGTTTTTCAACTTGTCGTTTGAGTCTCCGGAGTATAAAGGGTCTGATAACCTTGTGGAGCCGATGTAACAGTTCCCTTTGCCCCTCGGCTGAGTTATCCTTTTCAATGGCATCCGTAAGCGGATCAGCGAACCTAGGATCCAGGGAACATGCTTCGGGATAATAACTAACATTAACTACCATTCCTGAAACTGCGAATGGCTAGCGAAAACATCAGGCATAAGAAAATGCAACAGGGACCACATCTCTATGAGACTGTTCTGTAGTGGAGTACCTGGCATAGGGTGCCGCTACTGATTATGATGATGATGCTTTGTTTGGGATAGTATCACAGCAGCTCTTACCAGTGAGTAAAAGCCTCCTCTGGGAATTAAAGGTGAGTAAGGTCTGCCATCGTTGGGATCGAAAGTCCTTTATATGCTGTGCCTCATCCAGTATCATATAATACCTGATGGCCATGGCCATCGTCCCCACCCATCACACGTAATGCGGATAGACGTAACACAGCATCAGCCACATGCTACTAGGATGCTAGAAGGATAAACTTTATAGCCTATCTTCCCATCTAGAGGGTATCATCAATGCACATGTATCATCTATACTAGATAGCTATCATATCCTACAACGTTGCTGTAAGAAGGTTACTATAGCTGTTGCAGGTTACTACTACTCCTAAAGCCACCCAGATGCCATCCAACAGAGTTGTATCCGGTGTATTACCATCTCATCCTCTTGAAGGCTTGAGCATCTTTCAGGACGAGGTTGTAGCTAACTATACATACGTTGAAACTGTTGGCTTTAGACCAGCCAATCCTCTTCCACTTCCTCACCTGATTATCGTCTGATGCCTCAAAAAGTCAGTTTCTCACTTTTTGGCTTCCATAATATGTTAGAACTTTAAAACCGGGTAGCCATTTCTTGAATTCAAGCTCCCAGTTGAGGAGAACGGAGGTTGGTACGACTATCTGACGATGAGTACCAAAGAGTGGCTACTGCGTGTAACCAAGTGACCCAACATTATGATTACTACCAGATGAGGCCCCCATATATTCTCAGCACATGCCAGATGTGCTAGCATAGCGATAGTTTGTATCGTCTTCCCTAGTCCCATCTCATCAGCTAGTATACCATTGAGACGTTGATCATGCAAGGTGACCAACCAGTCCAGGCCTATGTGCTGGTACCTGATGATCAAGGGGTTGCTACAGGGATTCATCTGTAAGGAGAGTACTACTCTAATAGTGTACAATTCCGCATTAGAGATGGTATGGGAGTCTTCAGGCCCAAATGATCTCCCGCAGATCTGGCTACCGTGATGGGTATATCGTCAGATATTCTAGGCCTCTGACACTGATAATACGGTTCGTAGTAAAATTCCCCTACTACCACCTTCCTAGGGCTGCTGCTACTACTGGTGTCAACGTCATTCCCACCTATTGCGGAGCCGACTGCATTCTGAAGTCAAACCGAAGATGTTGGTGCCATGAGGACTCCTCCTCCACTCAGCACACTAGATTAACCACTCCTCACTTCATCTGCCACTTCCTGCCGTTCCTCCTGTGTTAGTGGTTGGGATGGTACAGAGTCCAGTAATGGTGGATGAGGGGAGTCGTAGGAAGATGGTGTAGTATAACTAGGCTGTTGGCTAGTCGTTGAATCTAGGTATTACTACCCTATTCGACAACAGTTGAGACCAGTAAATGGCTACTACCCAAAGCATCACCCACAGAGGCTGCAAATAACTCTGATTTCTCTACAAGAGCGTCCAACCTGGATATACTTCATAATCACC